GAAAAATATCTACATTTACATTTCCTTTCAGTCGTGACTCTGTGCCTCTTATTTTAATCCCAGAGTAAGCTTAGGCATTCTGTACTGATCTCCTTTTAATAATGCATAGGAAGCGAGACACTGGCCTGCGCTGCCCTCTCTGTTTTTGATTCTGCAAATGAAACGGCACAGTTAGATCAACCTGCGCTGCCACACAGGAGCCGAATGGATCGGGACCTGTTTGCTTGAAACAATTTAAGACTCCTAACGTACCAACTAATCTGGCCCTCTGTAAAATCTAGTACTGATGAAACACTGCGGCTCTTTTAACACAGCAAATGAGCAAATAAGAAAAAAAACAGATTAAAAGATTGCGCAGGAAGTGAGACACTCACCATTGTCCACTGTGTAGTGGGAGCGAGGAGCTGAAATGAAAGAAAAAAGAACAAGATTAACCCCTGATCTGGCAATATGTCCCCTGATCACACCCCCCCAGGACCCAGAGTCACTGTCAGGCCATAGGACTGGGAAACATTAAACAATTAAGAGACTCGTTAATACAATTATCTTATTAAGAGCATTGGGTGGAATGTGAACTGGAAGATACTGTATCCATAGCAGAAAGGAGGAACAGTGCTAATAATCAATTTCAGCATAATTGTCTTTTTCTTAATCCCACAGGAATAAAAAATAAGTAACTATGTCAATGCAAATTAAATCTTAGGTGACATGTCCCATTTAGCAGCATAGTAGTGCTTTGGTTCGCATTGCTGCCTTGCAGCACTGGAGCCCTGGGTACGATTCCTGGGTTGCTGTCTGTGTGGAGTTTACATGTTCTCTCCGTGTTTGTATGGATTTCCTCCCACAGTCCGACTACAAGCTGGTAGGTTAATTGGGCCCTGTCTGTGTGCCCTCTGCTGGGCTTTTGTATCATCCAGGGCGTATCCCACCTCGCTTGCTGGGATAGGCTCTGGCTCCCCTGCTACCCTGAATGGGATGAAGCAGGTGAGACAGATGGATGGATGTCCTGTTGATGTCCTGTTGACCTGCTGGAACCTGCTATCTGCACGCTCACTGTCTCACAGGTGGGAGCTGGGAGCATGACTTCAGAGCCAGGGGTTTAAAAGAGTGGTGGCTCTGTGGCTAAGGATCTGTGCCTGTGCCTGTGGCTGGAAGGTTGCAGGTTCAAATCCCGCAGCCGGCAGAGGAATCCTACTCTGTTGGGCCCCTGAGCAAGGCCCTTAACCCCAACTGCTCCAGGGGCGCTGTACAATGGCCGACCCTGCGCTCTGACCCCAGACTCTCTCCCTATCTGTGTGTCTCATGGAGAGCAAGCTGGGGTATGCGAAAAGATAACTCCTAATGCAAGAAACTGTGAAGGGTTAATAAAGTGATGTTATAAAAAAAAAACAGGATGATCAACACCATTCATTTACAGTCAAAGCGATCCGCTGCTATAACAGTTGTGTCTGAAAGAAAAAAAACATGGGCTGTCACAGTGCCGCCCCCGCACTTGGGCCATGTCTGTACTTTCTGGGAGAATCCCCCCTGCTCAACAAGCTGGAATCTGCAGCCAGTACATCCTGCTGGGATATTGACCGCCGTGAGGCTCTAAATCAGCCTCATAAGAGATTCCAGACGAGAATCTCCGTTCCAAAAAAACGAAAACCCAAGATCCAGGTGCACGCTGCACTCTGCTTCCGCTCGGGGCAGTTTCCCCCCCCCCCCCCCCCCAAAAAAAGATGAAACGGCGCAGATCCGTCGTCAGCCTGCACCGGCGCAGCTTTGAGATGTGGACGCGGACGCCTGGCGATTTCCCGGGGCGATCTCATTAGAAAGAAGCCCGCGACCAGCTTCAAGGGGGAGACGCCCAAGCTGCAGGTCCTCCACGGCAAGACGCAACCCGGAGGCAGTGTCAAAGGGCACACTGCTTTTAAACAACACGTCCTTTCGCCCTTCCTGTCCGCACGTCCTCCTCTGTAGCGTGGTTTGCAGTGTCCTGTCTGACTTTCAATGCCCGTGCCCGTCAGCTTACTGTGCTTTGCCACGCCAAAACCTGGGCTCAGCTAGCCTCTCCTTCCCTTCCCCGCAGTGTTATTTTGATTTAATTACTCTGCGTCGGACCGTCAGGAGAGATCAGAGCACAAAATCTGGGAGATAAATGGAAGTCGTTAACAGCTTCCCTCTCTCGTTCTGACCTGCCACCCCTCTCGGCTGCTTCCCCCTTCCCCAGCTCCGCTGCCTCGCTCCCTGCCTCTGATCTCATCGATTGTCCTTACGATAAAGCAAATTGCATCATAAAACATTCAGGAGCTGGCCGGCACACCGGGCTGTGCCACGCAGTGCTGGCGCAGACCTGGGGATACAAGGGCCAATCGGCAGCATGCCAACGCCGGGCCCCGCGGAGAGACAGCCTGGCCCGGCTCGAAGTGTGCAGCTCCTGCATCAGGACCCGCCGCCTTTTTAAGCCCTCCGCCATCAGCCTGCATCAGCAGCACGGTGGCGGCCTCCATGCCAGTGAGGGCAGCAACCAGCTGGGTCTGAACACCCCCAGCTGTCCGCCTCTACGTGCAGTTAGGGCCATCTTAAGGGCCTGGGGCCCCACGGTTTGGGGGGCCCCCCGCGCCGGCCAGCCCAAACCCCCAATTCCCAGTCCCACTTCACACACGCAGAAAAATATAAATACATACACGTTTCAACATTTGTATAAAGCGACACACAAAACTCTCATTTGAACTCAAGATGAAATCTGAAGTCAGTGGGTGAGCAGATGCTGTATTGAGAACCGGAGGCCTGTCCCGCACTCACGAAACTACGTCACAGGCCAGCAGCTGCCGGCTAAAAGCGATTGCAGCGAAACTAAACTCGCCTGGAAAGAAAAACGTTCACAGGTGGGAAAATGGCGAGGGGAAACAGAGCCGAAAACACGACAGTGGGCGCGAGAACAGAAAAAGGAGGCAGAAGAGGGAGGACGCAGAAGTGGCTCTGTGGAAAGGTTCGTGGTAAAAACCGGGAGCGAAGACGAAGCGCGCACGGGTGGGGATCTCGACGAGGACGAGGACGCTGGCGGTGAGACACCTGGGGGCACCGACAGCGTGAGCAACAACGGC